TATATATATATCCCTTTTATTTTTATGATATATCTAATTCTATTTTTTTAAAAATAATCATACTAACTGCATCTGCCGCGGAGTTTAAGCCTAAAATCACTAAAGGAATTTAAATTACAATATCTTCAAGTTTCAAACGCATTTGTTGGAATTTTGAATTATTAAATTGATTAAAAATACGGCAGTGTCCGTAAAATTTCAACTTAATATTCAATGCTCAAAAAATTATCGAAATAAGCCATTAAATTTTAATTATTGTCTTTTTAAGTTTGCAAAAGAGAAACGCACCCCTGCCTTAAATTCGCTTGGGTTCCCAAGCAGACTTGCTGGCATTGGCAAGTAGCAATAGAAAAAGCAACAAGTCGACAAAAGAAATTTAAAACTATAACGAATTGATTAATTTTTAATATATTCCAAATTGCGATTCCATAGTTGATTCTTTAAAACTGAGGTACAATTAAAAATTAAATTAATTTACAGATCCATGTGTCCAAATATGACTCATTTACGTCTTTTAGAATCTAAAAATTTTTCCACATCCGTTAAGTATTACTGCACTTTTGACGTTTTGTATAGTTAATTCATGACAATTTCATTTTATTTGCGGGTTAATATTCTAAAAACGTACTGAAGCTTATATATGAGCATATTATAACAAAACAGAGCTCAGAGCAGATTTTCTTAAAAAATGTCTCGAGCTATAGTTAGATATCTTGATCGAGTTAAGCACGATCTTCGATATCCTTTTTTTTCCCTTCTGGTTATTTTTAAAGTGATAGTAAGTTTGCTTGTTTTTCCCCTTTAAGAATTTGGGTTGTAAGTTTTGAAATAGATTTTTAGAACTCACGTCGTATTTTCTGTCAGTTGTGACACTACAATCCACAACAATGTGAACAATGTACCATAAGTGTAAAAAAGAAGCCATGAAGTGTAAAAGCATCAAATGCAATTGAAAAAGTGTATCGATAGAAACGAGAAGCAATATAATCAAACTATGCATGTAAAAAAGTATTACATTCTTTTTCATAAAAATATTACTTGCTCACCGACTATCAAAAATCATGTCTAATAACTGCCACGGCAAAGAAAAATATCCTGGTAAAATTGCCGTACTCTGTTGTAATAAATATTCTGAGAAAAAAGCATATTTCTGGTAATAATAACCAAAATGTAAAAACACCCATTTTTTGATTCCTCCGTCCCTATGCTAACGGTTTACCGGAAATTCTGGTTTTCAAAATTATAGCTCTTATTACTACACATTTATTAAAAATTGCAAAACTGAAAAGTAAGTTTAACAGAAGAAATGATTTTTATACCGTGCTGTAAGGTATCATGGTCAAGTCACCGAGTTTTTTTTATCATATATTATGTAACCATATTATGTTGTTAACTTTACCAAAATCATTACCAAAGCGCCAAGTTAAAAATTTCCAAGCTTTTTTGTATTTCCATAGAGCCAGAAACACAGTAAAGTTTACCATGTCCTGGTAATTTTGACAATATTTTTTTTCTCGAAGTAGTTATTACTATGCATGGAGTTGATAAAGATAACTTTTGCATGCTTAAATGCTTTTTTGTAAACTTTTTTTTCAAACAGAAAGGAATAAAGCTAATTATTAAATAAAAACTATAAAAAATTATGTTTAATAACTGCCACAGAAGGGGAAAATATCCTAGCAAAATTACCATACTATTTGGTAGTAAATTTTCTAGTAAAAAAAATATTTCGAGTAATAAAAACCAAAATGTACGATGCAAATGTAATTTGAAACACTCGTTTGGTAATTTTTTCCCTCATTCAAATTACCGGAAATTCTGGTTTTCAAAATTATAGCTTTTATTATCACACGTTTAGTAAAAATTCAAAAAACTTAAAAGTAAATGTAACAGAATAAATGGTTTTTATACCGTGATGTAAGATATAGTAAAATTTACCGAATTTTTTATAATTTTATCGCATATTATAAAGCTATATTTTATTGTTAATTTTACCAAAATCATTACCACAGCGCCGAGGTAAAAATTACCGAGCTTTTTTGGAATTTCCATAGAGCCAGAAACACAGTAAATTTTACCATGTCCTAGTGGTTTTGACCATGTCTTTAAAAAATTATTTAAATATTCCTTTATTTGGAGAGCATGGGTATATTGGTAAATCACACTTTTTCTAAAGGTGACAGTTTTATATCAAACAGTTCCTTAGTATTAGTTTCAGATAGCTACTTTTCAAGTAGCTGCTATTTTCACTTGCACAATACAAACAAAAATGGCAGTGTTTTTCTCTTTTTTTTTATCAAAAACGTTACAATTCCCTAACACTTTGAATCTGTAGCTTATTACCTTAAATCCTTCACTTACTGGAGTATTTAAATTAGACTTAATATGAACTTCATTGGACTGATATTTTGAAAAATCAAACATTTTTTGTTTAAATTTCGACCAAATTAATTTACTTTTCATAGTTAATTTTTATTTACATCTTAAGTTTTGATTTCGATATTAAATTTAAACTAAAAATCACATTGTGTAAAACCAAGTAGAAAATATTGTTCGTGTTCTGGAAATAAAATATTAAGGAGATTTTTTAAATTTCTGCAAAAAATTCCTATTAATGAAATATTTATTTAATTAAATAGTATATGTATTAATAAAGAAACTTAACACTAATTCTACCAAAATTAATAAATATTTTGTACTTATAATTTAAATAACCTCTCCCATAATGCTCTCCCTTCTTTATTGGACAGCCGATTAATTCAAAAATAATTTCAACTAGAAGTTTCTAACTTCTTGGGTAAAATGTCATTCGACTTTCATTCGAATTGTGCTTAAAAAAAATTATGCTTAGAGCATTCTGTTTTGCTAATTTTTCTCAACAATGAAGCAAAATGTATTAAATAATTAATCGAACATAAAACGGACTAAATGTTTTCAAACATTAATTTTCCGGACAAAATGAAAATAAAGAAAGAGTTATTTTTTATAAAGTGTATTGAATTTTTTAATTTTTGTAGTAGATTTACTGTTTCTTAAACTGATCAAATTCAAAGCTAATAACAGCCATTTTTCAATGGTGATTACTTTAAAGTAAAGCACTTCCACAAAACTCAATCTGTCGGCAAATAGGCTCACGAAGGCTACGAAGCAAAAGACGTGATAATGGCAATTGGGACAGCATTGCGCACTAGCCGTCTTTACTTATCAGACTAGCCAGTCCCCATCAATCTGAAGCTGAGAAGGCACCAAGACACGATTGGGGACCGAATTCGGAACCCACAAAATATTACCTTTAAGGAATTCATTACATTTTCTCTTTTTAAACCTCTTCTATTATTCCTAATAAGGTAAATAAAGTTTTACATGTAGTCGATAATTTTATGTTTTAAATTCATAATATCTGATATGATCGATAAATACATAAATTTACCAATATAAATCTTTGTTTTAACAGCAAAAAATAATAAAAGATCATTTGGAAGGAATAAAATTGACTTATTAATTATTCAAATCTGTCCACTTTTACAAATAAATCACCTTACTGTAAAATTGTGAAATTCGAAATATTTTAACTTTTTTTCTCTTTGATCGGGAAAATATGGATTGTAAGAAAATATCTAGTCCACTCTTAAGTTTAAATTATTTTTATTGCTTCAAATATCAGTTTCTTTTATGTTTTTCACAGATTTAACTGGCAAACCAGAATATTCTAAAATATCAAAAACAAAAGCCTCTAAACAATATTCAAATTTGTTTTTCCCTAATTCGAACTTTTTTTCAGAATGCAATTTACGCAATTTTCGATATCTTAAATTTTACTAATCTTTATTTTGAACTTTATTTTGTAATTAAAAGAAAGAAAAAAAACGTAATAATTTGTAAAGTCATTCGAAACATTTTACAGCAGAAAGTATCCCTATATAAGAGTAGTTACCAACTGGCTATCCGTGGGCCGCATCCGACCCGTGAAGCCTTTTTTGTGACTCTCGAACTATAATATATTAGTTGTCATTTTCTTGTCGTAAAAAATCTATGTGGGTTTGAAATACTTTTCTTTATTTAAAAAAAAAAACTAATTTCTTCGTTTCTGTGAAATTTAACATACCAACGGTGCAAAAAAATAATTTTCTCAAGTCTTGCAACCAAGAAAATATTTATTCAGATACAAAAATAGTCATGCGTGCTGCTCTTTTATATTTCGTTTTTTTTTTTTTGCGATTATAATTTAGCATGTGTGTATCAGAAATTTTTTCGAAGAAATTCTCCGATTTAACTTTTTGAAATCACTCATTTTGGACGAAATTATTTACATTTGTAAATTTTGTAACCAGAATTTTTTAATATGCAATTATTTTTAAAAATCTACTTCTTATTTCAATTTATAATTCAATACTTTTGTTTTGTACAACTTGATAAAAATCTGACGGAGATATTTATTGTTCCTTCAAACATAAAAGAGCCCTATATAAAATTTTGATAAAGTTGCTGTCCGCCATTTGACTAGTGTTTTTAATTGCGGCACCCGGCCTCATGTAAGCTCTAACCCCTGCTATACATATAACACAAAAACATAGTGCCTATCACAGTGATCGGAGCATCACATGGTAAGATCCAGTTTCCCCACATTATTATCCATATTTTTTTATTGTAATCAGCACAGAATTAATAAAAATTGTAAATCGTTTTCCTACAAAATATTTCTGTATCCCTAATGTAAAGTAATTTAATATTTATTTATTTTATTCCACGCTGCCATTATTATAACGTTTTTTATTTTGATTATTTTCTGAACTAAAAACATTTTTTATTATAGCGTTATTCAATAAATCAACGTTATAAAAAAACTACCTTATATTGCTACATTACTTATGCTAAATTACTTATAAACCTACGTTACCTTATAATGCTATACTTTAAGATAAACTCGTTTAAATCGGTGTTTTATTTTATTGAACATTTTATAAATATTATTTTTTTGTGCAAATTACATTAATTTACTATTATAAAATACAATTAAAGGAATTCATAAGAAAGATTAAGAATTTAACGGTCAGTTTCATGCGCAATGTGATGCACACACAAACTGTATTTAATAGATAAGCCTGTTTGGTAAGCAGAAATATTAAATTACGGTTATGAGCTCATCAAATCAGAGTAGGGCAAAATTTACTCGATTACATTTTTTGATTACAGTAATTACTTGTAATAATTTATTACAAGATAACATAATTTTGAATACAGCTGTAATCGTGATTACAACAATCAATTACAGCAATCAAGTACTTGTAATCGTGATTACAACTTTTTGTAATTTTGATTACAGCTGTAATCATGGTTACAATAATTGATTGCAGTAATCAATGAATTGAAATCTTGATTACAATTCACCAAAATTTCTTTTACAGCTGTAGTCGTGATTCTACGTAATTGCCAATCCAAGTAATCACAACTAAACTAATTACGGGTAATTATGATTGCAAGCAATTAAAATATACGATAACATGTAATCACGATTACACGTAATCGTGACTACGTTTAATCAAGCTATACAATTACAAGTAATTACGATTGCATACTGCATGTGCATATACGTACATTTCAGCATGTAAGTACATGCATTGTATGAATGTACGATAATAGAATGTATATACATTGAACATATTTACGTACAAAATGTAAGAATGTTGTTTATAGGTACACTATATGTACAAAACTGCGTAAATAAAATGCATGTATGTATGCTCATATGTACATAGATATATGGTTTGTACAAGCAACATATGTACAAATGTATGTACATGCATATTCATATGCTTTGTTAATACATATGCACACGTAGTGTATGGATGTACAGAAAATGTACGTATGTACATACAACGTATATATGTACGTATACATAAACACATGCGTACTTTTAAACATATGTATTTATAATGTATATATGCACATAAATTGTGCTTGCATTAAAAAACTTCATAACAGTAAAGTTATTAAAGTTTGTTTTAAAATGTGTTTTAAAACATATAAAACTCAATCTCTTATTCTCTTGGAAAGAATGCGATAATCTCATTTTAAATTCATAACTATTATTTCCACATTTAAAATTAACCGCTTTTTTGTACCATATAAAATTTTTATAAACTAAGAATTAAGCTTTAAGAAATTATTTTTTATTCAAACATTTTTGAAATGATATAGAACAATTAAAGCTGACAACTAAATTTAAATATCATTTTATTTTGTCATTTAACTTGCTTGAGTCGTTATCAGTGGTTTTTACACTAAACTTACATGCATTTTATTTATTGCATTGCATATATATTTAGACATAAATATATATCGTACATATGTAGATACATCCATTGAACATTCATATATTGTATATATGTACGAGATATCCATGTATATTTAGTGTATTTCCCATGTATATGTGCATACAATAAATGTACATATGAATTAATGTAATGCATGTAAGTATGTATAAAATATATACATACATTCGTACATTGTACATGCATATATAGTACATATTGATGTGCATACATGGCGCATATGTTTATCGTACTTGTGTGGATACATTCATCGTTCATAAACATATTGCATATATTGTATACATTGGGATACTATGTCTGTACATAAGTCAAATTTGTATTAAAGATTTTTGCCCAATATACGTATGCACATATTTACAACATATGTACGATATATGAATGTGCATCTGTATACTATATGTATATACATGTGTTCAATATATACATGCTAAATACATATATGCACATCTGTACATTATATGCATGTCGAATGTACTTATGTACATCTGCATAATATATGCATATCGAATGTATGTATGTGTATATGTAAAATATATGCATGTGGAATGTATTTGTGTATAACATATATGTGAAATATACGTTCTCCTGATGCACGTATAATCATAAAAAAATTTATTATGCATATTTTGATACACTCATTGATCATGCATATATCGTGTATGTGCACATGCATACTTTAAGCTTAGCATACAATGTGAATATACACATATATTGTACACGTATGCATGAAATGTAAATATATTGTACATACATGCGTGAGAGATGCATTGTGCAAACAATGATGCTCGTACAGACAACAAGCACTTGTATATATATACATACACATATACGGATATACACTTTACATACAGAAGTATTTGCACAAAATACATACATAATTTATATATATATATATATATATAGCTATTAGATAAGNCAAGTACTTGTATATACATGCGTACATGAACATAGATATAAATTTTACATACACAAATATTTGCATAAAACGCATATATTCATTGTGTATAAATGTACATGTCTACATTGTTTGCACATACATACGTAATTATTATATATATATATACGTACATATATTTTATGCATACTATATAAGTGTATGTATATGTGTGTGTAACTAAATTGTCTGTACATATGCATTAGATAAATACATATGTACACACATTTTAGTTATATTCATTCGTACATACGTTGCATGTAAATACATACAAAATGTATCATTATGCGATACATTATGCTATCTACTGTAAAATATAATCATACATTGGTATACAATAGTCTTCTAATAGTCTTGGTATACAATAGTCTTGCATATTTTGATTAATTGTAATCATATTTGCATGTAATCGTATACTTTGATTACTTGTAATCACGATTACAAGTAATTGATTACAGTAATTGGTTATGTAATCACGATTACAGTTATAATCAAAATTGTGAATGTTTGTAATCATGATTACGAGTAATTGATTACTGTAATTGAGTACCGTAATCACGATTACAATTGTAATCAAAATTTGTAATCATGATTACAAGCAATTGAAAAAGCAATCGATTATACTCATGCTCTACTCTGATCTAATCAAAGATTATGAATACTTGCTTGTTATCGCAATTGCCTGTAATCGTGATTACAAGTAATTGATCACATGGCAGTAATTATCTGTAATCAATTACAATTGTATTAGATTGCTGTAATCGTCACCCAACTCAGCATCAAATATACCTCGAATTTTTAACATCATTTTAAAAAATAAGTACTAAGCAGAATTACTAAGCAGAATGTTCACTAACAGATTTTAATAGAATCATAAGAGAAATGTTTGGAAGTGGGAGCATAGACATAAGCAAACATAATTCTTTTTAATGCATATAATTTAAGTGACTAATTTCATATAAAAAAAACTATTTTATACCGAGAACCAATAATTAATGCCAAGCATTCATCAGGGTTGGGCTTAGCGCCCTAGTGTGAAAGAGAATGTCCTTTTTTTATCAAGTTGGTGATTTGTCCCTCTATGTCTTAATTGAATGACGATTTCAAAACTACGCAAAATATAATGAGAAGGCATATGGAAAAAAACACTTTTTTAATGGCAAATAGATATTAAAATGAATTGTACAAATTAGGAACATATATAAAAAGATATGAAGAAGTATGTGAGTTTATAAGTCTGAAATAGGTGAATCTCAGAATTAAATCTGACAGCAGAGGTAATAATTTATGTCCAACTTAATAGTAGACTGACATATTGGATAGGTATTTCTTCTGTCCTATTATCTCCTTTTGAAAATGCAACTAAAGTAACGAGCTTTCTTTGATCAATAATCCTATGTTATCTGAAAATAAAAGAAAAATGTTTAATGTTAAGCTGTCAACTTTGCATAAATTTCAAATGCAGTATAATCAAATGCAGTATAATTATATCCGATTAATTACCCATTAGTTTTTTTAATATTTTCGTTATTTTATAGAAATTATTTAATTAAAATGCTTGTGGAGAAAGAAAGCATAATTTTAAAAAAAAAATCTAAATCTATTGAATAATCCTAAAAGGACATACTTATGAAAAATTACACTGCTATTTTGCATATAGAATAAAAATAACCACATTCCACAGTTAAGAAATATGTCTCTCTAATAACAATTCCCAACGTTTATTTCGGTCATTTTTCCTCTATATTTAAATGAAAACCAAGTTTTAACTCATGTATATTCTGCTTACATATACACTAAACTCAAATTAGGAGAATATATGTCGCTCCAGACCTGTAAGTATAACTGTGGGACGTAATAGTATTGATAAAATGATACGATGAAAAAATTTCAGTTTTTAATCATTCATTTTATTTTATTTTATAACCGTCGTTGAACAGCCGTCTCAATTTTGGATTTACGTCTACTAATGTTCAACTCCGTAGCCTTGTCATTTTGAACCCAATCCAGAAGACAAGGGAACTCCTGGATAAAGAATAGGGAGAAATTTGCCTCTTTAGAGGACTTTTTGATGCAACTAACCCGCATTTGCGTTACATTGGGAGGAAAACCTCTAGCGGTTAGCCTGACGGCAAGGGAACTCTAACCCCTGATCCGTCTACCACATAGGATATTTTACGTCAGCACTGTGGTCGGCGTGAGCCGGGTGTGGATTCGTATCGACCAGTTATCGCTGGGATTAGAACCAGATTCACTTCATTAAAAAGTGAACTCCTCAACAAAATTTCAATCAGCAAATATTTCTATTTATTTAAAAAATTATTTATCAAGTTTCGGGGTTCGGTCAAAAGATGATTGATCATTTAGGGTTAAATAATAAAATAGAAAGGTATGAGTTTCACGGGAATAACATGCTAAAAATCAATCCACTGTTTCACTAAATTTATGATGCTGATTATATAGCAGATTAATTTAAAATACTGAACGTTTGTCCTCTATGTAAAGAATTCTCAGGGATGGGATTCAAACAATATTTGCACACAAAAAGTCATCATTTAGGAAAAGAATCATAAAATTTGGATTTTGCTGTAAAGACCACTATCATTTTGTCTAAAATTGCTTTTAACTTTTCCAGTAATACAAACAGAACGATACAATTACCTTTATTCTATTTAGAATTAATTTTAAACTTTAATATGACCAATGGAAAAGAAATTCTGATATTTTAGTCATTTTTAGGTGTTGTGAAGCCACAGATAAAGCAATGATGAAGTAATTTCAACATTTTTAGAACTGAAGTCCAGGAATACAAAAACTAGGTTTATCTTTCCGGGATATAAAGATGCTTAACTGCTGTAGAATTCGTAAAAAATGTAATTTTCTAAAATTGTTTTCTTTTTTAATTCTAGCATAGTTCAGGTACATGCATCTACATTCAAAAAATATTTTCTCACAGTGTAGGACTTCAGTTATATTAATGAAAAAAATACAACACACCCATTATTGTCAAAAGTAAGAAAAGGATCTGACAAAAGACGTATTCTAAAGACGACTACTTATTGATAAGGACGACTACTTATTCATTTTTCATCTAATGTGACATTTTTTATGATTTATTGCAAATATAATTTTTTATTCTGTTTTGATTTTTCAAAAAGTAAATAACAGACTTTGATTTTTTTTTTAATATTTTATTCAAAATAACGTCATTTTATCAATAAAAAAAATTAGAAAATTTCTTTGAGAAAGGAAAAATCTCAATAATATGCTATTTAATTTTAAGTATATCAGATAAAAATAGAAGTCGATAGCTGTGATGTTTTTACGACATTCAACCTACACTCATTTAATTTCTCAGATTTTTTAATATAACTATTCTAAATATATTTTACAAAATGAATACAACTCAATTTTTAGACAAAACAAAAAGTTTGGACAAGTCAGTTTTCACTAAGTTTAAAAAGTTTATGAATTTAATAAATAAAAAAAGGCTAATTAAAGGGTGAAAATTTACTTGCGTGCTTTACTTCGGGTAATCTATTTCTAAGACAATGAACTGAATTATATAATAAACATAAGCAACATGATGAACTCAAACAATTCAAATGTGTTCTTAAAAATAAAAATAAATAAAATAAAAAAATAAGTAAATAAAAAAATTAGGAAAATAAACCTTATGCATTTTGGATTTAATGGAAACAGCTATTAAATAATTAACAAGAACGTAAATAAAATCACTCCAACTCATTAAAAATATTTTAAAAGTTATTTAAATGCTTTATCAATCCCTTTCAAAATAGATAAAAATGAATATCCAATTCTTTTGTAATTGTGATAATTATTTTTATTCAAAATACAGTTTTGGTTAATGTTTTATTTGGAATAGTTTGTGGTTTACATCCTTTTTAAGACAAAATTGAATTTATGAAACTGGCTATAAAGTGGAATATTATTAAAGGTTTGCAAACGCACGTTCCCGGTTGCAGCTTTCTTTAATGAAAGCCATCAAAGCTAAAAGAAAATAAGAAGATTTAAAACGTCAAGAGAAAGTTAAAGAAAATAATTTTTAAAAAAAAATTACGGAATATTTTTTTTTAGTTTGTTATTTTTTCAGGCTTTAAATCGAGCAAAACCTTTCGTAATCAGCTTATAATTGCTTTGGTTTTATACTCAGCGAATATAAGTTAACTATTCTTTTAAATGATGTACCACAACACAATAAGATTTTTGTTTTATATATTTACGAAATCACATTGATTTTCAAAGCATATATATACTCGTAAATAATTAATTTAACCAACTAAAATAAAATTATCAAATATCTGAAATAATAAAATCATTAAAAAATTACTTTTCTCTTATTTTCCAAGACCAATTGAGAGGAAAGGATACCCATGACTTCCATAGCCACCATGACCGTAGCCTCCTTTGTGTCCGTATCCATAACTAGATGCTCCATGTCCATATCCACCATAATAGGACGATGGATATCCATATCCTCCATAACTTCCATGGCCTCCATAACTTCCATGGCTTCCATAACTTCCATAACTTCCATGACCTCCATAACCGCGACCATATCCATAAGAAGGACCAACGTGATATGAGCGACCTAAGTTGACTGACACAGGAATGATGGCCAATGTCGTGGCCAAAAGGCCAAGAAGCAGAATTGCAGCCTGAAAATATATTTATTTTTTACACAATAACATTAATAATTTTTAATTTTTCATTAAAGTAATTGTCAAACATGTTGTTTAAATATGTCTTTCTTTAAATATTCAATGTGATTTATCTTAATAGAAACCCCTATTCATCAGCAGAGTACTCAAAAGCTTAACTTCGTATTATAAGTTTTTTACTGAAAACTGAATTTCCAAATTATTCTTTGTAAAATATTAATTGTAATTATAAAAAAGTGTGCCAGTTATTATTTGCATTTTTGATATAACTCTTTTTTTTTCGAATTTATTTAATATAAAAACGTTACAATTTTAATATAAAAAGTATTTACAATTGCAACGTTTTTATATTAAATTTTATATTACTATTTTATATTAAATTCTATCCTCATTGACTCCTTTATCTGATACTATTTAACGACGAACGACTCTTTTCTCAATTTTATTTATCTGAATTAAACTTCAATTAATTTTAAAATCAATTACTCGCCAAAATAGGCTTAACCAATAAAAAAAATGCAAAAACTCTTATATAAACTTTTATTTGAAGAAAATTAAATTATTTATGAAATGTTTAAGAAAAATAATTTAAGGCGTTAAAGCAGCAGTACTATTTACAAATTTTGATCCATAATGTTAAAAATTCAGTAATTTTAAAAAATAAGAACGATTTATAACTTATTTTTATATTCTCTCTAGTTTAATATTAAAAGTATCTTTTTTAACTAAATCAGAGCAAAAAATTCCTCAAAAGAAAATTAAGAGAAAAGAAAAAATAAATTAAAAGGAAAGAAAAATTAAATTCTTACCAAAACTTTCATTTTTCAGCAAAAAAATATCGTCTGCGCTATGCGAATCAAACTCTTATACCAAGATTCTCCGTAAATTCCCGGCATCTTTATATACAAGACATGTTCTTAGCCTCTGGCTATGAGTGAAACATTTTAGGTAAAGAAGTAATCATGACAATCCTTTTGCAGAGGGTATCGATATAATCACGTGTCCTTCGATGGGGTCAATTAAAATCATTTTTTGGATCTCGGGCATTTAAGCTCTTTTGTAACTCTTTTAATGGATACTTGAAGTTCGAATTCTACTTTAAAAGATTCGAGTGATTAATTTCATACCACGCCTTAGTTCATTAAATAAATGAATCTGTTCAAGAACGTTCCATTATTACAAAAGTTTATTAACTTGTTCACTCCACTTGAAAATTTCAACAACAGTTTATTTATTTATTCGCTTATTTATTTTTAATTTTCTTTGTGATCGAATAATAAAAGACAAGGCAAAACATGAATCCTATTGTTTGTTTTTAAATCTGCATCCTAGAGTACGTTAGGAATTTTGCTTTCCGGAACAACTTATTCGTAAATTATTTTTTCCTGTTCTATTTGTATTATTATTTGTAGTTTATAGTTTATTTTTCCCGGCACAATAAGCACTTTGAAAATTAGATATATTAGAACATCGGTATGTTACGACAATGAGTAACAATTACTTAATTGGAAATATATATCTTTGATAACTGTCAACTAAGTTTGAACTGCTGCAGTTTCAATATATTTTGAGATTTGAAACATTAATGCTATTTAAGACGCAAAAAGCTTTTAAGACAGCTTAATCAAGGAGTGCGTGAAATTAACTAAATGAACAAACGATGATATAAGTTTGAAATAGAAATTAATTTTTAATTAATCAGCCCTTACGCTGGTTAAAAATTATACATGTGATAAAACGATAAGAAAATTTTAAATTTTTGTTTAGATTAACCATGTTTTTTTTCTAACTTTCAAACCTTTTTTTTGATAATTTGTTTTCGAGATACAGCTTCATGTAAGTTTTAAAAGAACAAAATTAATTATTATTATCATCTAGGATGAGATAAGTGTTTTTTAACAGGATAATATATGTTCTATACAATTTAGATCAACTCTTTTATCAGGGTTACGGATGAAAACTGGCTTATGAAGAATTTAAAAAAACAATGAATGTGTTTATTATTTGATTCCAGCTTCCGTAAATTTTCAAAAAATTGTACACTTTCTAACAATTTTCTGTTTAAAAAAATCTATCATTATATTAATATCTGTAAACAGGGTGTTATGTAATCACCGCTTTTAACTTATATTTTTAATTCCTTTATTGTAAAATACTTCAAAATTGTATGAACATTGAAGAACACTGTCATTGTGAAGAACTGGGGTTCGATCCCCAGTGGCAGCGTGAAGCCTATCCAGCTTCAGATAGATGGGTACCAGCTTGGCTGGGAAGTAAAAGCGGTCTGTGTAAAAAGGATATTTATATTTTAATTTTCAAGTCTCTGTAAACTGTATTAAATAATTTTATAATGTACAATTTCTGTCTGTTTTTGCTCTGTTACGCCCAATTCGTATTTGTCTTAATATTCTCTACGCAACTGCTGTCAAAATTGGAGCGAAATCAGTCGAATAGTTTCTGAGAAATCGAATTTAAAAATACGACTTCTGTAAAATTCAATTTGTATTTGTCAGGAATTTTGTATACATGTTGCGGCGAATGACCGAAGTAGGTGGTTGTTGACTTTCACCGGTGAATGTCGACGAACACCAATATAATAATTTTGAAATGATATAGAACAATTAAAGCTGAAAACTAAATTTAAATATCGTTTGAATTTGCCATTTAACTTGCTTGAGTCGTTATCAGTGGTTTTTACACTAAACTTACATGCATTTTATTTATTGCATTGCATATATATTTAGACATAAATATATATCGTACATATGTATATACATTCATTGAACATACATATATTGTATATATGTACGAGATATCCATGTATATTTATTGTATTTCCCATGTATAAGTGCATACAATATATGTACATATGCATTAATGTAATGCATGTAAGTATGTACAAAATATATACATACATTCGTACACTGCACATGCATATATAGTACATATTGATATGTATACATGGGACATACGTTTATTGTACATGTGTGTATACATTCATTGTGCATAAATATATTGCATACATTGTATACATTGGGATACCATGTATATACACATGCAAAATTTGCATTAAAGATTCATGCCCAATATATGTATGCACATATTTACAACATATGTACGCACATATGTACGATATATGAATGTGCATCTGTACACTATATGTATATACATCTGAACAATATATACATGTTAAGTGTATGTATGTACATATGTGCATTATATGCATGTCCAATGTATTCATATACATCTGTATAATATATGCATGTCGAATGTATGCATGAGTATATGTAAAATACAGGCATGTCGAATGTATTTATGCGTATATGTAAAATATTTGTTCTCCCAATGTACTTATAATCATACACAAATGTATTATGCATATTTGGATACACACATTAAACATGCATATATCGTGTATGTGCACATGCATACTTTAAATAAGCATACAATGTACAGATACACATATATTGTACATATATGCATAAGATATATAAATATATTGTACACACATACATGAGACATACATTGTGCAAACAATGATGTTTGTACAAACAACAAGTACTTGTATATATATATATTTATATATATGTACACAAATATGGATATATATTTTACATACAGAAGTATTTGCATAAAATACATATAAGTAAGATATATTCATGTCGAATGTATTTATGTGTATATGTAAAATATATGTTCTCCCAATGTACTTATAATCATACACAAATGTATTCTGCATATTTGGATACACACATTGAACATGCATATATCGCGTATGTGCAAATGCATACTTTAAATAAGCATACAATGTACAGATACACATATACTATGCGTAAGATATAAATATATTGTACACACATACATGAGACATACATTGTGCAAACAATGATGTTTGTACAAACAACAAGTACTTGTATATATATAAGTACACAAATATGGATGTACATTTTACATACAGAAGTATTTGCATAAAATACATACATTCATTGTGTACGAATGCAAGCGTCTATATTGTTTGCACATACATGCATAATTATTAGATGTCTATATACGTGCATATATTTTACACATGCAGTTTAAGTGTATGTATATGTGTGTAACTAAAATGTCTGTATGTATGCATTTGCCCATATATGCATAAGATAAATATATATGTACACACATTTTAGTTATATTCCTTCGTACATACGTTGCATGTAAATACCTACAAAATGTATCATTCTACGATACATTATACTATCTACTGTAAAATATAAGCATACATTGGTATACAATAGTCTTGTAATCGTATATATTGATTAATTGTAATCATATTTACATGCAATCGTAAACTTTGATTATTTGCAATCACGATTTCAAGTAATTGATTACAGTAATTGAGTATTGTAATCATGATTACAGTTGTAATCAAAATTTGTAATCATGATTACAAGTAATTGATAACTGTAATTGGAAAATGTAATCGATTATACTTTTGCTCTACTCTGATCTAATCAAATATTATGATTACTTGTAATCGTGATTGCAAGTAATTGATCACATGGCAGTAATTATCTGCAATCAATTACAATTGTTTGTATTAGATTACTGTAATCGTCGCCCAACTCTGCATCAAATATAACTCTAATTTTTAACATCATATTAAAAAATAATTACTAAGCAGAATTACTTCTGTTCACTGACAGACTTTAATGGAATCATAAGAGAAATGTTTTGAAGTGGGAGCACAGACATAATGAAACATAATTTTGTAATGCATATAATTTAAGCGAATAATTTCAAATTTCATAGGAAAAAAAACTATTTTATGGCAAGAACTAACAATTATTGCGAAGCAATCACCGGGATTGGGCTTAGCCCCCTAGTGTTAAAGAGAATGTCCTTTTTTTATGAAGTTGGTGATTTGTCCCTCTATGTCTTAATTTAATGACGATTTCAAAACTACTGAAATATAATGAAAAGGCATACGGTAAAAAACAAATTTTTAATGGCAAATAGATATTACAATAAATTGTACAAATTAGGAGCATGTATAAAAAGATATGAGGAAGTATGTAAGTTTGTATGTCTGAAATAGGTGAATCTCAGAATTAAATCTGGCAGCAGAGGTAGTAATTTATGCCCAACTTAATAGTAGACGGACTTATTTGGTAGGTATTTCTTCTGTCCAATTATTTCCATTTGTAAATGCAACTAAAGTAACGAGCTTTCTTTGATCGATCATCCTACATTATCTGAAAGTAAAAGAAAAATGTTTTATGTTCAGTTGTCATCTTTGCATCAATTTCAAATGCAGTATAATTATATCTGATTAATTACCCATTAATTTTTTAATATTTTCGTTATTTTATAGAAATTATTTAATTAAAATGCTTGTGAAAAAAGAAAAGCAAAATTTTAAAAAATATATATATAAATCTATTGAATAAACTTAAAAGGACACATTTATGAAAAATTGCATCGGTATTTTGCATATAGAATAAAAAAAACACATTCCACAGTGAGGAAATACCTGTATGTCTCTCTAATAACAATTCCCAACGTTTATTTCGGTCATTTTTCCTCTCTATTTAAATGAAAACCGAGTTTTAACTCATGTATATTCTGTTTACATGTACACTAAACTCAAATTAGGAGACTATATGCTGCTCCAGACCTGTAAATTCATCTGCGGGACGTAATAGTATTGATAAAATGATACGATGAAAAAATTTCATTTTTCATTGATTCATTTTATTTTATTTTATTTTATTTTATTTTATTTTATTTTATAACCGTCGCTGAACAGCCATCTCAATTTTGGATTTACGTCTACTAATGTTCAACTACGTAGCCTTGCAATTTTGAACCCAATCCAGAAGACAAGGGAACTCCTGGATAAAGAATTGGGAAACATTTGCTTCCTTAGAGATTTTTTTGATGGAACTAACCCGCATTTGTGTTACATGGGGAGCAAAACCACGAA